CAGCTGTGGCGGGGCCTGCAGATTTGGAATCTGAGGATTGCGATGCTGGCTCCACCCGTAATGAGCTGTGACACCCTTGGGCCAGTCACTGCATCTCTGATCCCAGCATCCTCCTTTCTAAAATGGCCCCAGTGTCACCTACATCCTAAAGTTGGGGAAAATGAATGATGAACTTCATCGTTGAAGGTGCTGGGGTCACGGCGAGGGAGGCCCGTGCAGGTGGGTGCTGCCTGGACTAGGAATCCTGGGAGAGGAGCCGGCTAACAGGCATCTGGCTCCAGCACTGGGTGCAGCAAAGAAGGTAGCGCGCAGCGCGCAGCCGCCTGCCAGCTCTGGGGTCCCTGCCAGTTCACAGTGACAGGGTGGCAATGGGAGCGATTAAACAGACTAGACTGCCCTTTTCCCCACCGAGGCGCCGCGCTAGGCACATCCCTGGCAGCAGGAGCTGTGCCGAGGAGGCCAAGTGTTCATGGCAGCTCAGCTGTCTGCTAGCTTTCCGGGCAAGTCGGTTCCTCCCTCTGTCTCATTTCTACTTGAAAATGGAGACGACGATGAGGATGCTAACCTGCCCACCTCTTTCCACAAAATGGGCGTGAGGATCAGATGAAGGGATGGAAGGCAAGCCCTTTGAGGTTCTCTTGAGCCGCACAGCTGGGAAGTGCGGTGATTCCGCTTGGAGGATGAGCAATAGCAATAGGGCCAGAGCCCCGTCACTGCAGATTCCGAGTCCTGAAGGCCATCACCAGGCAGTGACAGCGACAACTCGTGTTAAAGAAAGCCTTTCTCTTAGTGTCTGTTTTGTTTTGTGTTTTGAGCGGAATCAAAGCAGAGGTGGTAGAGCGATGTTACCCTGCCCAGCCCTGTGTTTCGTGGAACAAATAAAAACATGTCAAGTATGTAATGTCCCTAACCCTTACCCAAAAAGGAGCCTCTTCAATTGCAGAAAACATGGTTTAAAGTCAAACGTTTTGTATTCATGAGGACAGCAACTGTGTGTGGTGTTCTAGTGATTTAGTTCAATTGACTGTTGGCTGGATGACTGAGCGAGAATATTGAGGCATTTAACAATGTTGATGGTATTCAGGACAAACATTTATCCTCTAGAGAACAGAATTTGATCAGGATGATCAAATGCAACTCCAGTTTCTCAATTATTTATGATTTGAGACCCCAGTGCTATTCATCACAGCTGGTTTCGACACCATTTAATTATTCAAAATAATCAGCTACACCTCTGTAAACTTGATGGGACTTAAAATGGCTTTGCTGCACCAAAACCATGCCTGTTATCAAACCCAGGGCATCTGCACCCTATTTCTAGCCTAAAAAAAAGGCGGAGGCCAGCAGCTTTTGGAGCCTGAATTGAACTTTAGAGCTTAAATCTATGAGCAGGTAGTTAGGGAGGGAGGGGGGACGGAGGGGGAAGGCGTTCTGCTAGTGTCATTTCACAGTCTGTCCGGTTTGAAAGATTGAAAACCAGAGCTGCTCAGAACAGGAGGAGTCTCCTTCCTTCTCAAGAGAACAGGAAGGGAGCAATGCGAAGGGGAATGAGACACAGCAGGAGAGCTCACGGATACACTGTCGGCTTCTAACTTGGGGGCAATGGGCAGTGTTTAAAAACAGTAATAGTATTGCTTTTGGTCGGCTCTGTTAGAAAGGAAAACATAACAGGCTATGGAAGGAGGTATTGAGGCTGGTTTAGAAACAGGAGATAGTAATGGGCTATAAAAGGAAGGTCAGGAAAAGAGACAGTGTGTGATTTTAAAAACACAAAACAAAACCCTCATCATGGTAAGGGAGCAGTAGTAGCCTCACCCCGGATTGCCAGGTCTTCTCACTGGAATGGTGACGGCCAGCCTGTGCCTCGCTCCTCAGGACCACCCAGGAGGGGGCTTTATTGTCCCCATCTTACAGATGAGGAAACTGGACCCAGGAGAAAACGAAGGCTTTGGGAGGACTCCTTTTGAAATGACAGCCATAGGTGGTAAGTCCCAGGCTTTCTGAAGCGAGCCCACATGCTGAACCTCGACACGCTCAAGACTTCCCTCAGTGTCTGTAATGAGCTGACGTCAGCGGAGAAAAACCAGGATTACCAGGGATTGTCTGAGGCCCATCATGCCGCTGACGGGTCAACCATCGCCTTGGCGAGTGAAAACGGGGCAGGGGGAGGAGCCAAAATTCAGGAGCCCCCACTGAGAATACCAGCAGCCCATGACATGGTCTTTTTGGTCTACAGCCTTTCCAGATTTCTGGGAATCTGACTTATAAAAATCTTATGTAACATCAGAATAAAGCCCTAAAATTAATTTTAAGATTATAGAGAAATGCCACTTGCCAGTGATATTTGGCCACTAAACACTCCATCCATGCTTTTGTTCCGGCCCTCCGGTCCAGTTTAAGAACCCATTGTGGCCCTCGAGTCAAAAAGTTTGCCCACCCCTGGTCTAGAGCCTTCCCAGATTTATGGGAATCTGACTTATAAAAATCTTATGTAACGTCTGAATAAAGCCCTAAAATTAACTAATTTTAAGATTATAGAGAAATACCACTTGCCAGTGATATTTGGCCACTCAGAATAGAACAGCTCATCTAACAGGGAGGAGTGCCTGGTCATCTCTGAGTGAAAGAGCGACCCTGCCCTCAAGGTCAGGGTGCTGGGTGCAGGCCGGCGTGTACTCCAGCGAAGGCAGAGGGCAAAGCAATGTAAGTGCTAACACAGACACAGCATCCGGAGGAGCGCAGAAGAGCAGATCCCTGTGAAATGACTGGGTATTTCACCGAAAGTTCTATGTGCCCCATCTTGTTAAAAAATCGTGGATGGCAGTGGGGGCGAAAAATTGTGGCGAATAGCTGTTCCATTCTCAGAACTTTGCTGCTTGGAGGAGAATGAGGAAAACGGTTCCCTGGTAATTCTGGTGATGCCGAAAGCAAGCTTTTTGTCTTGTCGGGTAAATTTTGGAGCCTGTGAAAAGCTGGCGACATTATACCTCTGGCGGCTTTTGCAGTCACTGGCAATAACATCAATCATTGTCCCGGGAGGCGTTCAGTGACTCTGTTCCCTTGGCTGCCTGGGCTGACTTCAACCTCAGTCTCCCAGGCTCCACCGTCATAATCCAGGGCTCCCTCAGGCGCAGTGCTCGCGTGCCCCTTCATAAAGGGGAGCTCGGGCCCCTGGGGTCGACAGGATTAATAGGCAGGGGCAGGAGAGTGCAGGGTGAGTCCAGAGGGCCAGGACCCTTGACCAGATCCTTGGGGGCATTGCCTCGATTACAATTAACTCCAGCTGAGCTAAATTTGGGCCCGTTGCTCATCTTAAATCCAGAGAACAAAGCCGTGTCCACCTGAGCCCCTGCACTGAGGGACCAGCGGCCACAGTCACTTTATGTGAGATGCAGAGTGCGTGTGGCCCGGGCCATCAGGGGAACAGAGGGGTGATGCTGCGTGCAGACCGCCACCTGCCGGGAAAGACCCTGTAGAGTTTCCTGAGCCTCAGGGAGAAAATGCCAGTTTGGATCTTAAATGTCTTGAAGAAAAGCATTTCTAAACCCTTATTATGAAGAAAACCATGGTTAAGTGGAGGTTCATACGAAGGGTGAGACAAAAGTGAGTGAGCCAAGTTCCACAAATTGCGTAGAAAAGATCATTTCATCTTACGATGACACTCCAGAGATGGGCTGGCTTTCTGGAGCCCTGAGGCGGCACTTTTCCATAGACCTCTGGATGCGGGGGGAGGGGGCGAGGGGAAGGAGGAACAGAGGGCCGGCATGGGAAGCTAGGAGCTAGGTAAGTCGCAGGAAGCAGAGCACAGGAGTCAGAGGGCACAAAGCTAACACCATCTGGGAACGGGGAGGGCGTTGGTGAGAGGTAGGATGGGCACTGGAGAGACTGGCTAGGAATGTGGGACCCCCCCCCCTGGGGGGTTTCTGAGGAAGAGGAGAGAGCGTCAGGGCAGCATCAGAAAGAAATCGTGGGCAGCAGTTTGCGGCCTGAGCGGAGTCCAGGCGGGACGATGCGGTGTGACCAGCAGCTGGCTGAACCCGGCCCCAAGAATAGTACACGCTCGGCCTCACACGGGTCAGCCGGCCCGGATATTCTCCTCGGACTGCTGGTGACGCGGAGGCAGCCAAGAGATGTCCGGGTGCATTTTCATTCAGTTATTTGTTCCAATTGTGCCTCCGATGGCAGGACAGTAGGCCTCCACGCAGAGGGGGATTATGCTGCTTCACCTCCCGGGAATCCTGAGACTCTCTATCAGCTTTTAGAGATTTTGTGTGTGTTCATTTTTGAAGTTTCACCGTATTTTAAATCTCTTCTGTGGTTATGTGCCTCTTGGTGCTAAGGATGTCGTTTTGAGAATGCCAGCTTTGCTATATAGACAGTAAAATAGTTGTAAACTCAAATCCTAAACTATTGGTCAGAGTGCTAAGTAGGCAACTTTCCTATGCACACTCCGTCCGCCACTGTCCCTTGGAAGGCTCAGCACCTATGAAAATCACATTGACTTTGAAGTGCCAGTTCTGATGGGGGAAGCCGCTCTTTGAGACCAGAGGATGTTATCATCCGAATGAGCCAGGCAGCACTGCAAGGAATTACAGATGATATCACCATCAACAAGACAGAATCACAAGGCCTTAGGCAAACGCCCTGGTTTCTAATAAAATCAGATTTAACATGGTTTATGACGATTCTTTGTTTTCTGTCATTCACATAATTGGAAAAGTGAAGCAGAGGCAACGGATCCGATGGAGGGTTTTAGACAACCAAGAGTCTGATTGGCCATATCGGATGACTGCTGTAAGCAGGGCAGACAGCTGCTCCCACACAGGCTCGGTCAATTGCATTACATTATAATAGAGGCTCAACCTCAGTCCGTGGCTAAGGGTGGTCAGACTTGCACAGTGGGGGGAATACCAGCAAACAACATGCATCTCCGGCTACAGCACTAAAAGCTGGGGTCTCTCGGCACCCCGTCTTCCAGCAGCTCAGCCCTGAAGAGGTACTTGGCAGCCCATGACCTTCAAAACCCAGAAGCAAAGGGTGTCACGTTGTTCAGGGATCTGTGCATGGATTGAATTCATGTTTTCCGAAATACAGATCCATTTTCAAAGGTTATCTGCCCTGATACTGTTCAAAAGAGTCTACCTCGGGCTTTCTAGATGATTCCGAAGGCCCATTCCCCAGATGCGCTGAGTATGGCGAGCAGGGCTGTGCTCTTGTCCATGTTGAGATCTCAGACTCATCGCTTTGTGCCCAACACTTCATCTCGTTTTAGGGAAAAGAGCCAAAGGCAGCCTTAGGCCTCTTTCAGCCAGCATTTGCCAAGCCATAGATTAAAAACCACTAGAATAGAAATTATCAGAGCTTACCACACTTCATAAGAGTAAGAAAAGGGTAAGCATTGTCATGAAACACAGAAGTGTGTTGAATTCATGCCTGTGGGCTTTTCTTCTTTTTTTTTAATGGACAAATGGGAAGGCCCACAATTATGAAAAATTCCATCTACAGCGTCCCAGAATCGGGAGCCCATGAATGTGGTTTCTTTCACTAGATGGCGCCCCTTTTTTTATACTAGTGCTGCTTTGACTAAAGTGCGTTCCTCCTCGGAGAGGAGAGGCCTGGTCACCGGAAGTCCTCTGTGAATGTGAAAGTCGTGTGTTCGTGATGCCTGATGACAACACTGTGGGAAACACCCACAACTGCTCTGCAGCTCCTCTGTGAAAGAGAGTCTGCGAGCTCCTAAACGCTGCTACGTCCGCCACGTGGAAAACTGTCCCCTGATGGGCTGGCCACTTCCCTCCTGTCTGTAGCAGCTGTGCGCTGCCACGGACTTCCCTTATTCGTTAGCTCCAGCACTTTCACGGGTTTGAAGCATAACAGTGTAGAAAAATTTGACTTTTCAGCACCTTGTTTAGGCTAATGGATGATGTTTAGACCCATGGCACAGGTAGCCAATGAGAATTGCTGCTTCTGCTGTTTTTGTAAAGAAGGGTGATTTAAATAAAATTAGAGCTCACAAATAATTATCAGAGACATATATTTTAGCCAGATATGACGAATGGGCTATATATCAGTGTCATTTCAGGACTGAGTCTTTATACTCAATTTGCAATCTGATAGTTATAAAATGAGGCTAGGTAGCTCTGGCCAAGTGGCTCAGTTGGTTAGACCATTAATCTGATAGTTATAAAATGAGGCTAGGTAGCTCTGGCGGTTAGACCATCGTTCCAATACACCAAGGTTGTGGGTTTGATCCGGGGTCAGGGCACATCCAAGAAGCTACCAGTGAATGTATAAATAAGTGAAACAACAAATCAATGTTTCTCTCTCTCCTTCCTTCTCCCTCTCCCTCCTTTCCCTCCTTCTACCCCTTCCTCCCCCCTCTTTCAAAGAAATAAATAAATTTTTAAATGAGACTATATAATTGATAAGCATATTGCAACTCATGGTGGGGCTTTATACGTCTGCCTGGAAAATGCTGGCTTATTCTTTAGGACCCGTGAAGGGTGTCTCATCTGAAACATTCCTCTATGCTCTGACCCTAATTTCTTCAGGCCTCTTTTCTGTTAATCACGCTTGACTATCATCATCTTTTTGCATGGTTTTCTCCCCCATGAGACTGTGACAGACTTAAAAAGCGATACTCTTTTGTAATCCCCATGTCTAGGGACAAATCTGTATTAAGGTAGATGATGGATGAATTAGTAAAGAATGAAATCCTTTTATCTTGTTCACATCCCTCGTACGTTTGTTAGGACTATGTCAGTACTAATTATTTCTGGAGTTGTTTGGGGAGGTAACAGTGGCAGTGGCTAGGGACTGAGTGAATACTTTGTGCTTGTTGTTCAACGTCTCGAGTGTGTCTAAAACCTCTGAAATCTTTTGCTTTCTTCACTAGGAAGTCCAACGCTGTACGGCTGACATGAACATCACCGCAGAACATTCCAATCATCCAGATAACAAGCACAAAAACAGATACATCAACATTTTAGCATGTGAGTAATCAACTTAGAGCTCTCTTCAACTGCGAGGAGATTAGATCTTCATGCAGGGTGTAAGCTGAAAGCCAAGCAGTCAGAATCAGGGTGCCAACAAAGAGCTACCCTTGCAAGTTACCTGTCACTCACCCGTCTTCAACAGTACCCAGGAAGAAATGGGGACATTTGCTGCCCCCTTCGTCTTTCATTAAGCTGTAGGATCTCTTTCATTACTCTTAATAATAAGATGATTAAAAGAAAATGTTCTGAACTTCACTTTTCACATGTGATTCCATATGTGAAACCAAAAAATTTTAATGTCATGTGGCTATCTTGATTTGACATTGTTTTAACCAGCAAGAGCCAAATCTTTTAATACAAATAGAAATTCTGAAATTGAATCAAGTAAATTGACTTTCAAAGCCATCTTTCTAAGACTAGGTAACTCTGCCCGAAGGATGAGCCTCCAGTCCTTGTGGCCCACGTGTTTAGTCCTATCCAACGTATTTACAGGGTCAAGAGTATCCTGAAGATCCCAGACTCAAATAAGTATAATTCTTTTTTTTTTAATGTGTTTTTATTGATTTCAGAAAGGAAGGGAGAGGGAGATAGAAACATCAATGCTGAGAGAGAATCATTGATCGGCTGCCTCCAGCATGCCCCCCACTGGAGATCGAGCCTGCAATCCGGGCATGTGCCCTTGACTGGAATCGAACCTGAGACCCTTCAATCCGTAGGCCGACACTCTATCCACTGAGCCAAACCAGCCAGGACAAATAAGTGTTATTCTTATGGAGCCCAGGAATACTATAGGAGCACAGGCCGCTTCTATGGCTTGATTGCCACTTTTCGTAGACACTCGTGCTTGGGTCACTGGCAGATACTATATGCTGTGCTATTAAGGGCAGGGGCACAGGTGTTTATGGTTAACATACATGATGGTAAGGAACACATTACAGAGTTTTATTTAATAGTGCATTTAAGTTGGACCACTTGAATTTGAACAGTGCTGGAGTCTAATACTTCAGTGAGATATAATTCACATACCATTAAATTCACCCATTTAGAGCTGGTTTACATTCCACTGCTTTTTAGTGGAGTCAGAGTTGTACGACCATCACCACTATCTAGCTATAGAACATTCTTAGCAACAAGAAACCCCATTACCCAGCCACGCCCAGTTCATCCCTCTCCCTCTAAACTCCCTAGAAACCACTTACCTACTTTCTGTCTCTATGGGTTTGCCTATGTTGACATTTTATATAAATGCAATCAGACAACATGTGGCCTTTTGTGTCTGGCTTCTTCTACATAGCATGATGTGTTCAAGATTTATCCATGTTGTAGCTGTATCAGTATTTAAGTCCTTATAAATAATACCCTGTGCTATAGCTATACCATGTTTTGCTTATTCATTTATCATTTAATGGACATTTGTATTATTTCAACTTTTTTATTATGAATTACTCTGCTACGAACATTTGTATATATGGTTTTGCGTAGACATCTATCTTTAATTCTCTTGGGATTATACTTAGAAATGCAATAGCTAGGTCATGTGGTAAGTTTATATTTAAAATGTTTAAGAACTCCCAAACTGTTTTTTAAAGTGGCTGCACCACTTTACCTTCCAGCCAGCAATATATTAGGGTTCCAATGTCTCCACATTCTCATCAACACTTGTTACTTTTTTTTTTGTAAGAGCCATCCTAATGCATGTGAAGTGGTATCTCACCGTGGTTTAGACTTCCATTTCCCTAGTGATTAGTGATGTTGACCATCTTTTCATGTACTTATTGGCCATTTGTATATTTTCTTTGGAGAAATATCTATTCACATTCTTTGGCCATTTTTAAAATGGATTACTTACCCTTTTTTTTTTTCTAGTTTGAGTTCTTTAGACATTCTGGATACAAATTCCTGATCGGACAGATTTGCAAGCATTTTCTCTCATTCTGTGCATTCCCTTCTCACTTTCTTAATGGCGACCTCCTTCGATGCACATACAAGAGTGTCCCAGAAAAATGTATACGCACTGTAACAGCTGGGTATCTCACCGTGGTTTAGACTTCCATTTCCCTAGTGATTAGTGATGTTGACCATCTTTTCATGTACTTATTGGCCATTTGTATATTTTCTTTGGAGAAATATCTATTCACATTCTTTGTCCATTTTTAAAATGGATTACTTACTCTTTTTTTTCTAGTTTGAGTTCTTTAGACATTCTGGATACAAATTCCTGATCGGACAGATTTGCAAGCATTTTCTCTCATTCTCTGCCTTCCCTTCTCACTTTCTTAATGGCGTCCTCCTTCAATGCACATACAAGAGTGTCCCAGAAAAATGTATATGCACTGTAACAGCTGATAGCTCAGTTTTGAGAATGAAATGTATTTTAATAAACACTGCCTTTATAATTATTTAAAGTGTGTGTATACATTTATGGGTCACCCTATTTTTTTTTAATTATGGAGAAATCCTATGTATGTTTTTTATTTTGTTGCCTATGCTTTTGGTGGCATACCTAAGAAATCATTACCTAATCCACAGTCATGATATGGTTTTAGCTTTTATATTTAGTCTTTGATCAATTTTAAATTAATATTTGCATATGGTGTGAGGTAGGGGTCAACTTCATTCTTTGTATCTTGATATCCAGTTGTCCCAGTACTCTTCCCCATTGAATTGTCTTAGGACCTTTAATGAAAATTAACTGCCCATAGGTATAAGGGTTTATTTCTGGACTCTCAATTCTATCCCATTAATGTCTATCCTTATATCAGTACTACATTGTCTTGATTACTGACTATAGGTTTGTAATAAGCTTTGAAGTTGGGGAACTGTGAGCCCTCCAACTTTGTTCTTCTTCAAGATTTTTTTCCTGGCTAATCTGGGTCCCTTGTGTTTCCACGTGAATTAGCTAAAGGATCAGCTTGTTTATTACCATAAGAAAAAGCATAGCTGGGATTTTGATTGGATTGCATCAAATCTGTAGATTAATTTGGGAAGCACTGCCATCTTAACAATACTCTTTCAACTCATTAAGATGGGATGTCTTTCCATTTACTTAGGTCATCTTTTATTTCTTTCAACGAATGTTTTATAGTCTGCATTTTAAAGGTGCTACATTTTTATGCAATATATTGCTGGGTATTTTATTCTTTTTAATGCTATTGTAAATGGAATTGTCTACTTAATTTTATGTTCAGATTGTTCACTGAATGTATAGAAATACAGTTGATTTTTGTATGTTTATATGGTGTCTTACATTCATGGCTGAACTAATTTATTCTAATAGTTATTTTTGTGTGGATTTCTTAGCATTTCTAAATACAATATTGTGTCATCTATGAATGTAGTTTTATTTCTTCCTCTAGATAAAGTTTTAAAAGAACCACAAGTCATTTTTTGATAAAGAGTATCTGTTTCAGTTATCTGAGAGAATGAGTCAGGTAAACAAGAGAACAAGGAAGAAGAGTCAAACTTTTCTTTTCTCTCCATCTGTGAGTGAATTGACTCTGGTAGTATTTGTTGGCCAACCCAGTCAAGGCTCATTGTGCTGAGATTGTGAGGATTTGTAGCTCATTTCTAACCATATGAGTAAGGCAGTGATCTCTGCATACATGTGTCTGGCACATGTCCATACATACCTTTCTCTCCACCACAGCAATCTTTACTTCTAGTGACCTCACTGTCTTGGCTAAACATGTGGCAAAGCAAAGGGAGGAAATCAAAGCAGCTTCTGTGTGATGTGACCAAGGGTCATGATTTTGCTGGAAAACGACCGTCTCCACTTAGATGTGGTTATACTTTCTCAGGTTCATTGTGACTTTATTTGCACAAATTCAAATCACATGCGGTTCCATTGTTGTGAGTTCGGAGAGTTGGGTTGTGGTGTTCTCCTGGCCATTTGGCCAGGTTCTGGGCATATCACTCATCACCTTGGTCCACCCCTATATTAATACCTATGCATAGCAGAGAGTAGCATGGAAATGTCATGGAACAAGTAAAATGTGTCCTTGAATGTGCCCGAAAAACACCTTTCTCACAAAGCATCACAACTTTTAAGTTACATGTGGATGCCAGCACGCCAACTCCGGCATTGATCTGTTTAGCCATTCTATTACCTTATTAATTAAATGTGAAATTGCAACTTGAAGGATGTTTTTTATTTGTCCCTCTGAGAAATAATTGACAACATAATGCTAAGAACGCAGAACAGTTTGTATACAGGTGCCTTATTGAAATTTTTCATTCGGGGTCTATTTCTATCAGGCAGTCCTGTTCATGTCAACTATAGTCTGAGTTTGTCAGAACAAGCAATTCACGGTTCCCAGAAGGTAGACGGCTTTCAAAAGGTGCTCGATACAGTCAGTCGTGTCTGGGCTAATCGTTCATTGGGCTTCTTTTTGAACTAGCCTTGGATGGCCATGACTATACACAGAAATGTGAATTAGCTTTTGCCCATTTCTAGCTAGGGAAAATAAAATTATGACCTCAGCTTTATTTTATTTAATTTGTTATCCTAGAAACACAAGCTCACTCTGTTGGGCAACTAGAGGCACATAGCATCACCCCCTTTTGGTCACAGCTAAAGTTAAGTGGATCCTAAAATCTGGTCACTGACTTCAGAGCCGTGCAAGGACAGTACCCTTACAGGCAGCTGTAGCTCCCTCAATGTTGAAAGCTCTGTTGGGCTGGCAGGGACTCTGGAATAATTTAGCAGTGAAAACCGCTGAAAATAGATGCTGTGGACTTGCTAGAACAAAAAATTACTGTATACAAAAATATTACAAAGACAATATTCTGTACAATAAGAGACTTTCTCCAGTTTTAAAATAACTGCATTTTGATACCATGCTTAACAATTAAATAATTCAACAGTACCTGAGAACTATTAAAAATTAGAACAGTAAAAAAATATAATAGTGGATTCATCAAAATCAAAAGCATTCCTAAGAACATTCTTTTAAAACAGAGATCATTTCTAGGCGTGCCTGTGGTCTGAGCCATGCATTTAAGAATGCCCATTACCCAAAACCTTTGTTGTTTCCTAACAATCACTTTTTTAATATCTGTAGTAATGGGGAGCGGAGGGGAGCATGGGTTAATCAAAGGCCTTGGAAATTGGTTTTCAAGTGCAGCAGAAGGACATTTTGGAGGGTCGCAACTTGCAGTGGTTTTAGATGGACCAATAAGGACCTCTGTCTGCATTTTGGGGCACTCACAGGCCAGAGCATGAGGCTTTGATTTTTACATGAGGTTCAGATGCTGGGTCTTTTAAGTTCTGTTCTTCTGACAAAAGATGTCAGGGGTCTTCTGGGAGATGCCACATGACCTGTTGGCCTGTTTTGTGCTTCGGAATGCTGCTACTTTCTGAATTGTACATTTTGGTTTGCTGTTTTGTTTTCTTCTCCACAGATGATCACAGCAGGGTGAAGTTAAGACCTCTACCAGGAAAAGACTCTAAGCACAGCGACTACATTAATGCAAATTATGTCGATGTAAGTCAGACTGTTTCTGCACACCTGTTTCTGACCATTGGAGAGGGCCGCGGGGAGGTTCGGATGTGTTTTGATGCTGCACAGAGCGCTCACTGAAACACAGCCTGTCCTGCGTGGCTGGCACTTGAATTATTGACTGCTCTGTGACACTGCTTCTGTCTGACTTTGTGCTGTGTCATCTTTGAAGGGTTACAACAAAGCAAAAGCCTACATCGCCACCCAGGGACCTTTAAAGTCTACATTTGAAGATTTCTGGAGGATGATTTGGGAACAAAACACTGGAATCATCATTATGATTACAAACCTTGTGGAAAAAGGAAGAGTAAGAGCCTCTTGATCATATATCCTTGTTCCAAAAGCATATTTATGGAGCACCTGCTGGGGGGAGGGGCGAGGGGCAGGGCTTGACCAGGTGCGGAGTTAGAGGAATGAGGAGCGGTCCTGCCCTCATTCTGGGAGATGCCACATGACCTGTTGGCCTGTTTTGTGCTTCGGAATGCTGCTACTTTCTGAATTGTACATTTTGGTTTGCTGTTTCTTCTCCACAGATGATCACAGCAGGGTGAAGTTAAGACCTCTACCAGGAAAAGACTCCAAGCACAGTGACTACATTAATGCAAATTATGTCGATGTAAGTCACTGTTTCTGCACACCTGTTTCTGACCATTGGGGAGGGCCGCGGGGAGGTTCGGATGTGTTGTGATGCTGCACAGAGCGCTCACTAGAACACAGCCTGTCCTGCGTGGCTGGCACTTGAATTATTGACTGCTCTGTGACACTGCTTCCATCTGACTTTGTGCTGTGTCGTCTTTGAAGGGTTACAACAAAGCAAAAGCCTACATCGCCACCCAGGGACCTTTAAAGTCTACATTTGAAGATTTCTGGAGGATGATTTGGGAACAAAACACTGGAATCATCATCATGATTACAAACCTTGTGGAAAAAGGAAGAGTAAGAGCCTCTTGATCATATATCCTTGTTCCAAAAGCATATTTATGGAGCACCTGCTGGGGGGAGGGGCGAGGGGCAGGGCTTGACCAGGTGCGGAGTTAGAGGAATGAGGAGCATCCCTGCCCTCACCTGGCTGTGCTCGTGCGGAGTGAGCGTGCACTGGTGGGCACGGGTCACCTGTGATGCGGAGAGGAGCAGGTATTGGGGCGATGCTGGAAGTGGACGGCTCTGTCTGCTCGCACAGACATTTTGAAGTGAGATTTGAACAGTGAGTGAGGAGGAGAGTTGCACGGGGCTGAAAAGGACAGGAGGGGCGTCCACGTGTCGGGGTAGAGAGAACAGAAGCAGGGGAGTTGGAAGAAACAGTGTAGCCAGAGAACTAGTAACAGTTCAGACGGGGAGGTGAAGAGACCGCCTTAACACCCGGGTCAGCATTAAAGGACCCTTTTGAAAGATGATGGTCAGTGTTTTAGCTGTTAGATGATGAACTTACAGCCGATGATGCTGACTTGGGCTGGAATGAGGCGAAGTTGCAGGCTTGGTGCTCGAATCACTGCAGCTTCCCTTGGGCCGCCGGAGTCCCTGTTTTGCCTTTGGCAGCCCCAGCTGTGAGTGCGGCCCCACCTTCCTCCCACTCCCATCATAACAGGTCCCACCCACATTTCTCACGGGTCCAACATACAGGTCTCTTCTGAAGCCCGCTTGGTAGTATATCATGTGTTGAAAGATGATCGTGAATACTGGGCTCATGTCTCTAATGATCTTGCCGGCCTGTGGCTTTCAGCCCGTGAGTTCCTTTTCTGTCGGCTACATGCGATGCTACCTGCGCTTTAACACTGTCTCTTGACGTTACGTTATCAACAGCACAATTGTGGCACAAATTGCATTTGCCATTTACAACTTTTTTTTTTTTTGCAGCGAAAATGTGATCAGTATTGGCCGACCGAGAACAGTGAGGAGTATGGAAACATTATTGTCACACTGAAGAGCACAAAAGTCCACGCCTGCTACACTGTTCGGCGTTTCTCGGTCAGAAACGCGAAAGTGAAGAAGGTATCAAGGCCAGGGGGCGGGCGCCCAGGGCGGCTCTCTTTAAACTTGCATGGAAATGACCGCACAACCAAGGCCAGTTCGCATAACCAGCTTGGTTTTTTGAAAGTATTTTAAAACATTTTTCACAGCTCTTTGATTGTCATCACTGTGTTGTGTGAAAAATGTTGGCAGAGTACAGAATAGGGTTTAACTGATTGAGTTCTTTAACCTCTTTCTGAAGAAGACTTTATTTTAGAAAAGGTCCTCTTAGGTTTTGGTACATGGCAGATACGTCAGCATCTGTGTTGAGTTAGCTTTTGTTTTGTTTTTGTTGTTAATCCTCACCAGAGAGAGCGGAAGGGAGGGGGAGAGAGAGAGAAAAAGAAACATTGATGTGCGAGAGACACATCTATCGGTTGCCTTTTGCACCTGCCCCCACCAGGGCTGGGGACTGAGCCTGCAACCGGCACATGCCCTTGACCGGAATCAAACCCGGGATCCTTCAGTCCGTGGCTGACACTCCAGCCACTGAGCCAATCTGGCCAGGGCTTGCATTAGCTTTTTAATTCCAATTTTCTGACAGCTTTTAAGGAACGCTAAGCCTACAGGATGCTACTTATAAGTATGGAAAACTAAATGCTACATAATCCACACCCCCCCTTAAAAAGGTGCAGTGACACGCATGGTCAGAGGGCTGGAGTGAAGAAACCCACTTCACTTTGTTTTGCCCCGTGGAGTTTGGGCAAGAGGAACAGATAACCTGAAAGCAGCCCTTCCACGGGGTGTGAGTCTCGGAATGTTCACACTCCACGGTCCCAGCGAGACTCAGATGAGGACAGCAGCACTGGGTCCTCTGCACCGATGCCCCTTGAGATGTGGACTAGTTACTCTGCGGAGACGTGGAGTATTGGCTGTTCGTAGCAGTGCGTCTTGACCGATTTTTTTTTTCTTTGAGTCTTGGACATCTTTGAGAATGTGATAAAGCTGTAGCCCCCTTACTCCAGAAGAATTCATTTACTCAAATTATTTTATACAATTTCAGTTGCTCTGAAGACCATCTGGGATCCAAGGCTATTGAGTCCTTTCTTTGTTTAGTTTTCCCCCCAAGAATGGCAGAAGCATATAAAAGTCAGTAGCACCGCATTATCTGTGTTCTCTCTAACAGAACTGAGCTGGTGCAAGCCAGCAATCAATTCATACTTGCAACGCCCATTACTCAGGGAAGCCCTTGAGGTTTTTAAACATGGCCCACTTACTCTTAATTTTAGAAACAGCTTAAGTCAGGGGAGGAAGTACATCAGAACTTTAGATGTTTTGCCCACTGATAAGAGGGTAAAGTCGTAATTGAAAATGAGAAAGAAACAGGAAAATGCGAGTCCACAGAAGAATTATGAAATCAGAGCCATCGGGGGCCTTGTAGCGCAGGGCCAAGCACCGCAGGCCGCAGTGCTGACTTAGTAATGATCTGAGCCAGCAAACCTTTTTGTTTTGTTTTGTTTTGTTTGTTTTTTTGTTTTTAGAAGAGGTATATAAGAAAAGCGGTATCATAGTAAGTGATCTGTTTGGGGAAATTTTTCATCTAAAGTAGTTAAAATGTAAAAAGTTCAGCCACTTAAAGGAAAAGGACTCTGAAAAATTCACTTATAAAAGTGATAAATTATAGATTAAGACTCAGTTGTCACTCAGGGTCCGCCTGCACTTGGGCTCCTGAAGGTCCCCTGGGCGTGGAGTGAGAGTGTGTATGTGTGGGGGGTCCTGGCCACAGTCAGCGGAAAGCAAGGCACGGAGGCCTCTGGAGGCGGGGCAGCAAGTCAGGAATGAGGCCTGCAGGCAAATTACAAAGTGCTTTGTATGGTTCCACGTCCAAAAACCGCATTTTAAACATTCATTCTTGGTACCGTCCTAAACCATTCTTTCTTAAACCATTCTTCCTTCTAAGCGATGTCTGATACTCCTCATCCAGCTGGGAAAATGTCTCCATTTACGGCATGAGATGCCTCAGGGCGGAAATAACCTGGCCTGGAGCAGCAGCTGGGGCGCACGAGGCCAGAGGTGCTGTTACCCGAATGCTCACACTCAGTGTAAAGATGTCCGTGTTCACCTTTCTCTAGGGTCAGAAGGGAAACCCCAAGGGCCGTCAGAACGAGCGGGTGGTGATCCAGTACCACTACACGCAGTGGCCTGACATGGGCGTCCCCGAGTACGCCCTCCCCGTCCTGACCTTCGTGCGGAGGTCCTCGGCCGCCCGCACGCCAGAGATGGGCCCAGTGCTGGTGCACTGCAGGTAGGCCTGGCTTCCCTTCTGCCTGGGTTCCCTGCCAAGTGGGCGGAGCGGGGGTGTGGACGGGGGCATCTGGACAGCGGTGGTCCTGCTGCTGTTTGATTTAGAACTGAGTCTTCGTTGAAGACTGGGACCAGTAAGACCTGTTACATAAAACCACCATATTCCCACGATATTAAGAAAGCATCTGCTGCTTTTAAGGTTAAAACAAAATCTCTTATACACTTTAATTTTTATAACATTATTGTATTAATAAAATCTCCATTATGTATCGGAAGCTGCAGGCTGCTCATATGTAAAAATCTGACCTGAAACACCACTTTACAGCTTCCCACACTAGAGATTTTGAGTTTCTGTAAATGGCTTTTCTTGTGGGTTCCATGAAATAATTACAGTGTATGAAAGGATTATATTTTCAAAACTTTAGCTTACACGTGCCTTATAAACTTCTAAAAAGCACTGGGAAAGCCTTCTGGGAAGCCCACTCGCTCCGCACTACCTTAAACAGCCTTGGTTGGTTGTTTAAAAAGTGCTCTGAGTTTTGTTTGTAATTGTAATCTTGGCCTTTATTTCATTTTGGTATTCAAGTGGATGTTGCTTACTCTGTGATTTATATTCATAGCTGCACAGCATTTTCTCAGTACTTGTTTGGGCTGTTCTTATGCTATGCTAGGTCCTTTGCAGAAGTTGGAACCCATCTTCTGTTTAGAATCCCAGAGAACTCTGCATGTTTGCTAACCCAGTTAGGAATCACTACAATAGAAATGAATGGCTATCGGAGAGCTTGGGGATCGCACACCGGTGTGAGATGGGGACCTGCTGGGAGGGGGGATTGGGGGGATCTGCCTAAAGAAGCTTGCTACTCGGTACACAGAATTCAGTACACAAGCACTTCTGTTTAATAAAAAAATGTGAAGAGGAGGCCAAGTTTTCCAGATGTGACATTCGTATTCTATACCTGGCGTAGTAAAGGAAGTACCCCTTTGAATAGGAGCTTTGTAATATGGAGCAGATGGCGGGGGGAGCGTTGGTCAGAAAGGGGATTTACTGAAAGGACAGTGGGCACCCCCAGAATAACGGGGAGCGTTGGGGAACTAGGCACAGGCCGAATCAGCAAGGGAATCTCCCCTGTCCCGCTGCAGCAGCTGTGGAGCTGGCTGCAGCTCCTGTGGTAGGAAGGCAGGCTGTGCTCCCCATCGAGACTCAGGAAGTGGGACCTGTGCTGAGAAACTGTTTGGATGCCATCCAGGATGAACAACGTGTCTAAACAACAGGGTGATTCTATGCTCATTAGCACTTGAGATGGTAATCGTTCCAGTCGCAGTTCATGACATGAGAAAGCAAGAGGTCCTACCGAGTGTCCTCCTGTCTTGCAGCGCTGGCGTGGGCAGGACAGGCACCTACATAGTGATCGACAGCATGCTGCAGCAGATCAAAGACAAAAGCACAGTGAACGTCCTGGGCTTCCTGAAGCACATCAGGACACAGCGCAACTACCTCGTCCAGACGGAGGTAAGCGGGGCTCCGGACGGTGAATGGCATTGAGGCGACAGATTCATTCTCTCAGGGCCTGGAAGAATTCACTAGTTGGTATTAGCAGGGATCCTGGCCGGGATACCATTCTTTGGCTCCCAGTTTTCCATTTCTGTGTGGATCTTGAATTTGGAATCCTCAGCAACTACACAAGCACTTATGTAGCCAATACAGTTGGATCTAGGGCTGTGGAGAGTGAAAAATATATGTATAGTATGTGAAAGAATGGTTCTAAAGTCCTTCTTTGAACTCCCATTTCTCCATCGCATGCTACATTGAACCTATGGTTTGGGCCAGTGGTACTCAACCTTCCTAATGCCGTGACCCTTTAATACAGTTCCTCATGTTGTGGTGACCCCCAACCATAAAACTATTTTCGTTGCTACTTCATAACTGTAGTTTTGCTACTGTTATGAATTGTAATGTAAATATCTGATATGCAGGATGTATTTTCATTGTTCGCAACCCAAAGGTTGAGAACCGCTGGTTTGGGGCATGGTAGGGACTATAGAACTACACTCAGCACAGTCTCTACCCTAAACTAAGTTACAATGGATAAGCAAGTAAGTATGGGGGCAACCCAGATAGGGGTAACGCTTGAAGAAATCCACGGGGAGGTCCCTGCTACGGGAAGAGCTCATCCAAGGTGGATTTTAGGGATGGGGTAGAGGTGGCCGCCCCTTAGCAGCATTGCTCAGTGACTGCCGTATATTGTGCCTGTTAGGAGCAGTACATTTTCATCCACGATGCCTTGTTGGAAGCCATTCTTGGAAAAGAGACTGAAGTATCTTCAAATCAACTGCATAGCTATGTGAACAGCATCCTCATACCAGGAGTAGGAGGAAAGACACGACTGGAAAAACAGTTCAAGGTAGCGTTTTCCTACATTTCTTTGGTAAAAAAGCAAGGAATTAAGAAATGCCACGAGTTTGGGGTCATGTCTTCTTTTGCATGAACGTACAGACTGAAATGGATTACTGTTTATACTCCTCAAGTGTAATGCAAAGAAATACAGAGTTCGACCTCTGTCTGCATTGTTGGGGCCCAAGTAGAGAGTGAGGTGCTGCATTTTCTTCCGACCAATTTACAACTGTATCTGAACGTGGGCATCAGCCCCTGACCACAATGACATAATGCTTTGGAATCAGTCCCCACTGTCTAAAAAATACCCTACCCTATCTTATCCTTACTAAGAACAGTTACTGAAGACTATCCTAGCAGATAATTTAGAAACTAGGAAAGAGCTGCTGAAGAATACTAGAGAAAAGTTAACTTTTCCTAAACAGTTGTTTTCTTTGATAGGGGCATGACATTTACAAGCAGTTAAGGTTTATATGGAATGGAGTAAAGGTGGAAAAAGAGACTACAAGGGCGGTTAACATAATTAAGACCAGAAAAGCTGTTACCTCAAAGGATTTATTATAACTTGCTCTAATCTCTAAGTGCTTTTCTATTTCCTAGTCTCTCAGTCTTTTAAATTCTCTTTTTTTGCATTGTTCCACGTGTAAATTCTCATTTGTATCAAGGTGGGAAGAATGAGATGAGTCTGTACAGTTTTGGTTTTCATGGTAAAACTTTCCATGGACTCTGAAACCTTCATTTGCCTCTCCCCTGAAGAAATGAGACAGCCAAGCAAATTACAGCAAGTGATGTGAAGTGAGGAAGATTAATTTCAGAGTTCAGTCATGACAATTTCATATTTCTAGCTCTCCTTCCATAGCATCCAAAGTACTCTAAAAAAAACATTTGAGGTAATTAGTGTCTCATTTTATATGTTTAAAATGAATTCCTGAAAAATAATTAAGTACCAACATTTTTTAAAGGCTGCCTTTTCTATTTCTGTAATATCTTACATGTACTTTTTTTTGGCAAACCATATTTCTGGCAAAGGACTTGTGTCCAGAATGTACAAAGAGCTCTCACAACAACTCAACAATAAGACAAACAACTCAATCAAAAATGGGCAAAAGTTTTGAATACACATTTTATCAAAGAAAATATACAAATGACCAATAAGCACATGAAAAGATGCTCTACATCATTCATCTTTAGGGAAATGGAAATAAAAACCACAGGAAACCATTTCATACCTATTACAATGTTGGTGCAGTACATGTACTTTTTAAAAAATTCATCAAAGAAATCAGTTCGTTCCACTGGGAACCAGGTAATTGGACCTTTTACAGTCACTAACCTCTTTAGAATTTGAAAGGGGAAAAAATAAGAATCAGAAATTTAACAACATCCAGGGCCTTTAACATTAGTATTTAGAGGAGGCCATTCCCATGTATTGTATTAACATGAACCAGAATATATGTGTGTGTGTGTGTATATGATTGACAAAGTGGTTCAACCAACTTATATAAACAGGAAGAATAACCAAACTACGGGGCTAATTATTTATCACAGCCTTACAAAAATGTCAATTCAACAAAAATTTACTGAGAACTTAGTCAATTCTTTGAGAAATTGATTAGCGCTTTTTAGCATAGGTCTTGTGCCTGAAGAATTCCAAGAAAAAGTTTCACAAAACCAATGACATCAACAGGAAGAATCCACATGCATTCAGTAAATATCACCTAGTACCTATCACAAAGGAGACAAACCCCTAGTAGAAGAAATAAGACTAGTAGAAGAAATAAGACAAGTATACAGACAACCAAGATAACATAGAGAAATAGCACTAGTGAAACAAAAAATACTCTCTGGGGTATACAACTGTCTTTATTCCTCAGTAATCTGATTATTGGTATTTTTTCCCAGATCATCAGGCAAATGCTATCAATTATACTTTTTTGTGTATATTTTATTTTTTTACCTTTATTGATAAAATTTAACATTGTAGTTCAAGGTATTTTGATGAACATACATATTGTGAAATGATTATCACAACAGGGTTAGTTTGCATGTCCACAACTCTGCCCTTGAATGAAGACTAAAATGTTGTTTTTCTTTCAGCTGGTCACACAGTGTAATGCAAAATACGTGGAATGCTTCAGTGCTCAGAAAGAGTGCAACAAAGAAAAGAACAGAAACTCTTCGGTAGTGCCATGTAAGATCTTAAAATCAGTTTGACTTGGTTGGGTATGTTAGTATCTTTTCCGCTGGAGATTACGTAGCACTAATATGTAATCGGATACTACCCCGGGGAAGGTGATGCGCAGGACAACAAAGGCAATTTGATCAAACTGGGGAGGGCTGGCTCTCAGTGCCAGCAAGTCACTGCGGCTGCATGACATGAAACCTAGTTTCAGTTCACCTCAAAGTGCAAGAACTAGGTTACTTCTGCCATGCGGTAACTATAAAAAAAGTAAAGTCATTATCCGTTATCACTGTGGCATTAACACTCCTTTAAAACTTGGATTCCCAAGATGAACCTGTACAGTGGTGACTATACCATTGAAGTATTCTGCCCATTGAGATCAAAGCACGGTTGCTAGGTGGTGACCTCTGTATAAATAACTCGGGACACGGGCATAGGCGATCATTGGAGAGATGATCTCTCCTGGGAAACGCCACTGTGTTTTAAGCCCTTCTCGGGGAGAGAGAGAGATGGATAAGGGGATGGCAAAAGAGCGAAGTAAAATATGGTGGTGCGATTGTAGGAATGTGAAACCAGAATAAACTTGATCTGAAACCTGCCATCTCTGCACAGAGTATTCGTGATGTGCTGTGAAAACGTCTCCCACAGTAAAACTTCCTACACCGCCTATGTCCTGGGAATGTGCAGCGCATTTCATTTTACATCCTGCTAAGCTGCTAACACTTTAGCTTGGCTAAAAAGAAAGGGGAGCCAGGAGGATGTTCCCAGGTAAATTTTAGAACGCGCTGTTGGTTCCATGTGTGTAACAGGCAAATGTGGCGTTTTCTTTTCGCATGTGACAGCTGAGCGCGCTCGAGTGGGCCTTGCACCGTTGCCTGGAATGAAAGGAACAGATTACATTAATGCTTCTTACATCATGGTGAGAGTCAACCCTTAATTATAAATAAAGTCAATTAAACTGAAAGGTGCTAAAGAGCAGATACCACCTATGTGACTGATTTCATTTTTCAAAGAATTTCTCAATGTGTAATATCAAAATTAGAGAGATTTCCGTGTCTTGGAACCTCTAACAAAAGACCCCTAAGCATTGCGGGTACAAAAATGCTTCAACTAAGAAAAGTGCTTGTTAAGGAATTAATTTTATTGTTAATCCCACCCATCTCGTCTTTAAATAAATGTTGAAATTACCGTTAAGTAAAAACAGCAGGGGCAACTAGAAATGAATTGTACATGGAGAGAAAATTGTCTACACGTGTTAGCGAAGTGCATCTAAAAATTAGCCAAGTGCACTGAATGCCTTTTTTCAATTATTTCAGTACAGTCCAAACAGTGCTACCTTATTTCATGAATATGTTTTACTACTGCAATGTTAGAATAAAATAATCATAATAATTGTTTGTCTTCCTAACTGAAGGGCTATTACAGGAGCAATGAATTCATTATAACCCAGCATCCTCTGCCACACACTACGAAAGATTTCTGGCGAATGATTTGGGATCACAATGCACAGATCATTGTCATGCTGCCGGACAACCAGAGCTTGGTGAGTGAAGCACATCTGCTGTATGCTAATGAGCTGGGCAGCCTTAAGCATCAATCACTTTGGTACTTGCCACAGGGCTGTGCCGTGTCTGTAGGTCCTAGGGAGGAGCCCAGACCTCTCATCTTTAACCTGCTCCCATTCCTGGTGTAGACTCAGTCACTCTCCCTGCCAGTTCATTACTTGATTTTCTAGTGCTGGTGGTATCGCCCCTCAGTTGCACTGTGCATGGCAGTGCAGCAGAAGGTTTTGAAAAAGGTCTTTTTATTAACTTCATTAATGTATGACCTTCACCGACCTCTATAAACAATCATAGCAGCTAACGTTTTGAGAATGTAGCTGTATTTATCACTCCACATGTATTTTTTTTAACTTATTGGGGTGGCACTGGTTATTAACTCATTCATTCTCCTCTACAGTTGCATAACAGAGGTACTATTACCTCAACTAATAGCTGGGGAAACTGAGGGAAGTAAATTGCTCAAGGGCATCCATGAATGATCAATCAGAGTCAAGATGTAAACCTGAGTAGCCTGAGCTCATGCTTTCAATCATTTTTGCTGTAGTGTGTGTCCCAGCCACATGATAGACGTAGCTCCCAGCCACCCCCCACTTTCAATCATTTTTGCTGTAGTGTGTGTCCCAGCCACCCCCCCAAAATTGTATAAAAAGTAGTTACACGTTGCTTTTCCCTGCCATCGGTAAGGCAGAGCCATTACAGGGAAGGAGATAAGGAAAGGCTCTCCCATTCCCACTTAAAGGTGTTTAAGAACCTCACTAAGCTACTACCTCTTTCTCTTCTCTTTAGTCCTTCCCTGTTGAGCTCTCTAAACTACGTAAGAGAATGGTCAGCAAGTGGGCATAGATAAGCTTAAATGTTGTGCTTAGATCTCTTCCTTTCAGAATTAGTTGGGTTCAACAGTTACTGTAAGGACATGTGAGCACATGAAGTCTAAACAAAAACACGAGGATCTGCCTCATGAGTGTCAGATGAGTGAGGTTTTCGGTCAGGAAAGAACAGTGTGATTGAACCGTAGTCTGGGTGACATGCATTTGACTGTGTGCCCAGTCAGTAGGAACTTCTTCGCTGTCGCATTCTGCTCCAGCTTCAGAATACCAAGGCTGCTTCTGCACCATAGAATGGCAACCAAGTTGAGAAGCTGAAAACCGAGTGTAAATTTTCAAATTAGCTGGCAGTAGGGGTCTGTTCTGTTGGCATGAGGAATTTGGAGGCATGTAGGGCTGTTAAAACATTCATTTGTTGGGTGAATTAGTATTTTATTTTCACTTAACAGAGGACAGTCACCAAAAGCATGTACCCAAAAGCTCATTGTATGGGGAGGCTGGACCAAACTCGAGGACACATGGTCTGCAGACAGTGAGGATATAGGAACTGCCCTGGGCCACGTCATCTCAGTGCCGCTGAGGCGTAGGGGGGCTGCAGTGGCATCACACTTGTCTGTACCCTCAGCTCCAGTGCCCAAAGTCAGATTCATTTATTGTAGTTTTTCCTAAAAACCACGTCTCTGGCCAGTGGGTCTCAGGGGTTAGGGCATCGGCTGATGCACCAAAGGGCCTTGGGTTCAATCCCCAGCCCTGGTCAGGGTGTGTGCAGGGGGCAACCACCCTATGTATCTTTCTCACATTGATGTTTCTCCCCCCACCCCCTTCCACTCTCTCTCTAAAAATTAGTGGGGAGAATATCCTTGGGTGAGGATTAACAACAAAACATTTTAAAATGTTTCTGGACTCCTATTTGTTTATTACTAGTATAACTTCACAAGACCACAATTCTGTGACTAGCCCAAAAGTCACTGGTTCCTAATGGAGAAAGCACTGTTAGAGGTGCCTGGACATCTTTGACATCTGTAAATATATTTGTCACAAAACAAGCATGAGACCAGGGTGCCTACTGAATTAACAAGTAGCATTTGTTTTTCTCCGTCTTTCAAGATGATCCATTATTCCTGTTTACTACCTGTATTCAAAAGTTTCTCTCTGCCTTCCTTTCACCATAACTAAATCCCTCTGGCAGCCGTTAGACCAACTCCATAATTTACTATTCATGTTGTCCTCATCAAAGTTCTTTGAGATAGGTAGTTTTACTGTTCCCACTTTGCAGCCATGGAATGGAAGGCTCAACTACATTAATTTATTCAGGATCACATCCAACCCTAAATCCTATGCTTAGTCTGTGCATATTGGTTAAATTTAGTGGCCTTGTCCATCATTAATTACCTTGTTTTTAATATCTGCTAAAAGGGCCCTACTTCCATCTCCTTTGGATGAAGTTTATTGAAACACTGACAGTTACAGACTTCTTTTGTATAGCCTGAACTCAATCGCTAATCTGCTTCCCCTTATGCTGAGCTTTAAAAATAAAAATGTACTTGGCAATAGCTGTATTGAAACTTGAAAGGGTGATAAGTCTTATTGGACTGTTGGCTCATTTCTAATGCAACATTGTAATATTAAACAAAACCCTCTTTGTTTTGAACACTATTCAGAATTATTTCTGACTTCACTAGCGGTATCTTAGCATTTTTAGGAAAATGCCCAAAGAAAGTTTAGTTTGCCATAGGAACTGATTAGGAAAGGGAGGAGGAATTATTGTCAAAATCATTGTATTGCTCAGTCTGCAACAATTAACTTTTTTTAGGTCTCCATAGTTTTCAAGGATAGAATTCAAGTACGAAGCCTGAATATTTACTTTTAATCTTAAAATAGATGAACATTTTAAAGCTTGCCTGATTCAAGGCTAAAAGGCTTTCTATGTTATCCCCTTTTGAAACAACATTTTAAAGCTTGCCTGATTCAAGGCTAAAAGGCTATGTTATCCCCTTTTGAAATCTAACATCATGTACTAACTTTTCTTTTAAAGAACACCGTGTACCTACAGCCAAATGCTATTTATGTACAGCCTCTGTCCCTTAACATTTATCAGAGATTTTGGCCAACTCATGGCCCTCTCTGGAGTCCTGTAAAGGCCGATGATAAAAATCCCTTACCTCACTAGTATATTGCAATCATTAAATAAGATAGATAATGTTATGAAAGTCCTTTGCAAAATGTTAACCAACTATGAACTATTATTAACATAATCCATAGGAAATGACAATTAGCCTGTCATAGTTGCTTAAGCAATTATGAATAATAGCTTAGAATTAATTGACCTAAATCCCGTCTCCTTTTCCATGACAATTATATTACAGAGCACTTCTCAGCTGCGGCCAATGCATCCTCCACAGATGCATTTTGGCTGTTACAGTGACACAGGTGAGCATTGGTAGAAATGGTTATGATCACGTATGTTTTACAATAGAATACAATAAATAACCAATGAACTCAGCATGATTAGATAAGGATATAAATCTATGAACCTAATTTAAAAGATGACTTCAGAGGTACGGCAAACATAAGTCATTTTGCAAGAGAAAATTCATACACAAATGTTTGACAGCACTGCAGAGGATTTTATCTATGTATGTATTTTGGTTCCCACAGGCAGAAGATGAGTTTGTGTACTGGCCAAGTCGAGAAGAATCCATGAACTGTGAGGCCTTTACCGTCACCCTTATCAGCAAAGACAGACTGTGCCTCTCTAATGAAGAACAAATCATCATCCACGACTTTATTCTGGAAGCTACACAGGTAACCTAACCTTCAGTGCTGAGTAATAGCTATCTTTGGGCAGATTGGCCTAAGTAACAAGTAATTTACCACCCTCCAGGCAGGTCCAGGCACGTGAGTATGACTTAATTTTAAATATGTATACTTCCCCTTTTTTCACCTTCCAATAGTTGCTTTCCCAGCTGTGTGGATGAAACGTAACCAGCTCCTCTGAGTGAGCACATAGAAATGGGTCTGTTGACATAATTGGAACAAACAATATTCCAGCACTCAGTATTTTCTTTGCCATCAGAAATGGAAAGCTTGCGGTGTGTTGCAGGGATGATGATGATAAGACTTTTGGTTACACAGTATTTTGATGTGTAGTAACTGCCTTCTTAAGGGGCAGGTAAAAGGGGAGCTGGCTTATATTAGTAACTGAAATGATCTCCTAAGCTCTTCCTCTTTTTTTTAATTTTAAAGATGAGAAAAATTGTTCCATGAAATTTTTGCCTGAACAAAATAGGATTCTACTGTTTCACTGTCATGAGCTGCTCGTTTTGGTCTTTAGCTGCAAGAAGTGCTTTCTCAGGAGCAGGTTGCAGCCACGGATGGTGGAGTGAAATGAACCCTGTTGTCTTGTTGTAGGATGACTACGTCCTGGAAGTCCGGCACTTTCAGTGTCCCAAGTGGCCTAACCCAGACGCCCCCATCAGCAGTACCTTTGAACTTGTCAACGTCATCAAGGAAGAGGCCTTGACAAGGGATGGCCCCACCATTGTCCACGATGAGTATGTATCTGCTTCTTAAGTTTCAAGTTCACACGGTTGCCTGTTGCATTGCTCCAACAGCGAAAGGGAAGACATTTTAGACACCAGTTCTCTCTCAGGGACAATTCTATGTCATTTCTAACATGTACCTGTGCAGGGTGTTGTGGTCCTGTCTGCACTTTAACGTGTCGAACCCTTCAAGGCTTCAGGTTCTAGAATTTGTGCTCTAGAAAGGGGAAAGTCCTGTATCTGAGCCCAGAACAATAGATTCGCATGCTTTCCCAGGTTTTATGTTTCAATAACACAAATCAGTCAGTTAAATTACTAATTATCTATGTTGAGTAGATAGTTTCCTTTATTTTAACACTCCTACACTGAATTTTCAAAAACACCTATTAGAGAAGAAACTTTTTAAAAAATGGTTTAATTGATTAGCAGTAAAGTTAAACTACTAGAGTTTATAGTATGCTCTGAAGTTTAGAGTTCTGTCTTTGGGATTTTAAAGGTAAAGAATGTAGGTCTCAAAGAGAACAAGTTGCTCCTGGCTCAGAGATTCTAAGGTACAAACAGTGCTCAAACCCAGCTCCATCCACTTTACTAAGAGGGAAAGGGCCACAGACAGGCCTCATGGTGTATGGCTATCTGGACAAAGCTGCAAGTCAGCTGTATACAACCTTGCCAACCTTTAGCCAACATGGCACTAGTTACACATCCTCATTTCTAGTTTAGTTCCCAGGGATCTAGCTTTCTTGGCCAGCAAATTCTCAGTACATCCATTATGCTCATTAAATTACCAACTACTTCAATAGCATAGGTATTAGTCAATTTGAAAATAAAGCTTATTGTTGTCTTCTCCCCACCCCCCTTGAATTTATGATATAATTGAAAGTGCACAAAGATTTTTGGCCTAGGTCAGCACCTTTACCTCAAATCCAGAGTTCTATTTGAAGGAAGCTATTTTACTGGCTGCTTCCTTAGGAAATGGTGACTATTGCAGAACATTAGCCTGACTTAGATTAAGAATTAAGATTAGAAGAGGATTATAGTCCAAACTTCAGTTCATGTGAAAACCACCAACAGTGTATAACAGGGGTCCTCAAACTACGGCCCACGGGCCACATTCAAATACAAATATTGAATTTGTTCCCGTTTAGTTGTTTTACTTCAAAATAAGATATGTGCAGTGTGCATAGGAATTTGTTCATAGTTTTTTTTTAAACTACAGTCCGGCCCTCCAACGGTCTGAGGGACAGTGTTTAAAAAGTTTGAGGACCCCTGGTATATAAAAACAGCACACAGACAGCCTCAAAATCACTGGGTAGTTGCTACTGGCTATGAAACTTTAGGGCTGATTCTAGAAGGTTTTTTCCCCCCACTAAAGTGAATCATATTTTTAAATTACTTCTGGGTGTTACCATCTCCTATTAATTCAGGCCAAATCGTAATATTGTAATGTTGCTGCCCAAGTTCTAAGACTCACTTGGATGGTATAGTAATACTCCAAGGAATTTTGTCCTAAAATCAGTAAAACACTTAATCTTATGGTTTTATGGAAAGGGAAGGAGAAAATGAAAAGAACACCACTGCCTAGTTAAACAGTATTAGCAGCAGTATTAGCAGAACTGTTTCATTCATTTATTTATATTCAGCTTTTGGGTTTATTACTCAATGATTTTTATTTTATTCCACTTCTGGAATTATCAAAGGTAGCTGTTCTTAGGCCTAAATAAGAAAAGATAAAGTTAACCCTAAACCAATGGGTCTACAAATATCATATAAGTGATGGGGATGAAAACCACCTAAAGCAGTGTGTTCATTCATTTCTCCACCTACCATCATTAGGTGATAAGCAATTCCACAGAAATTACTTTTCCACATTACTCAGGAACAACGTTAAATTTTTAAACAGCTGCTAGCTTTAGTGCAATCTGAATGAGTTTCCTTTCAGTACCTATATCCCTTCATGATGGCCTATAACCCCCTTATATGTTAGCTTATCTGAAACCAAACTTGTCCTCTTCCTGCCGGCCCCATCTACCACCTCTTGTTGCTGCTCCCCACCCTCCCAGCACAGCACAAATTCTCTCACAGTGTGGCCTGCTTCCTCTTCCAGCTGCCAGCCCATCCTCCTACAGGCCACTTTCCCTGCAAAGACTTTCCTCCGAGTGCCCCTTCATTCAACACACTGTTCAAAAAGTCTCACTCGTTTCAGAGGTGATCATCAAAATCATTTATAAACATCACATCCTTACCAGAGCCATTCCTATTTATCAGATATTGTAACTATTTGTCCACATGACTGTTGAGACCAGCAGTGGTAACTTTCTCATCCCAGTCTCCATAGGGTGAGGCCCAGTGCCTGGCACATAGTGGGTACTATGCTTCAGACTGTGATGACCTACAAAAATTCAAGATATGTACCCCGATACGAATTTTCACCAGAGAGCCTTGCACCTTGTTTTTTGTTGCGTTTGTCAATTCTTCTGTGAACAGTAAAGCCAATTTACAAAGCATTATAGAAACAACCTCTTAAGAGCAAAGCAGTAACAATTGTGAGTAGTTAGTAAAAAGTGATTAAATGGGCATATAGATGTTATACACACTGACTATGCAAGGAACTCTGGTGTGTTATAAAATGTGTATCGGCAGAGCACCTACAAACATTGCATTGGTTGGTAACTTAAAGTGCTTGCATTTCTTTTGATGTCTTTGTGGCATAGGAAGGGAAAGATGAAAATGCTTCGTTAACAGCACTAGTTAAAAAGCATTGCTTTGAGGGAGTGCAGACAAACTGCCAGAGGCAGGACTTTATATACTCTTCTTACTCATCTAGCTTATAAATGACCTGCCTCATTTTTTACCACAGCCCTCTAATTTTAAGTGCAGATCCATGAAACTTGACAAACATCCTTTAATCCTACTTAACTCCCAAACTGCTGAAAAAAAGAATGGCCTTTCAATCTTTATTCATGCTTGGTTTACAGAAGGTACTTAAAAATATCTGTGTGTTTGATTGATTTGACTTAGTTTCCAATCATGTTTAATTCTTGTGTGTTTAATGTCTTCTTGTGTAGATACTTCATTTTAATTTAGATACTGACTTAAGAGTGACTAAATATAGGAAAGGCTAGAGCAACCCCACATGGTTTGGATAACTTTAAAAAAGAACGAAGGAAGGGGGAAAGGATCCCCAAGTTTAACAGTTTCTCTAGAACAGACTAGCAAAGGTTAAATTCTCCCCCTGGAAAACATCGGTACCATGCTAAAATGAGAAAGTAGTAAACTCAGTAGAACTTAGCATTTAGGACAGAGCAATAACAGGATTTTAAAATATGCTCAGAGATCTGAAGGAAGACTGTGTGAAATGAATTAAAAACCTGTGTTGTGTGTCAGGAACAAATTAGAGCCTAGGAAATGGAAAGAAGTGCTGGTAGTAAAATGGACAAAGCTGAAATCAAACTCATAAGCTGGATACAGAAGTTTCAACATATGTCTAAGAGGTGAGCCCATGGAGAGATGCAAGAGGAAGAAATAATGGCTGAGGTTTTCCAAGAACTGAATAAAGAGATAAATTCTTACACAGAATGATCAGGATACAATGGAACAATAAGAGACCTGAATACCACAATTAACAAGGCTGATCTAATAGTGATACGTAAAAGAGTTTACCTAAGAAACTGTATCGAGAGACCATATAGTCTCTTCACATGTAAATGGTTTAGTTAAATAAATTGACCATAAATGGAATTTCAGTACATTTAAAAAAAATGATACCACACAAGGCCACATTGATTACAATGCATTAATATTAAAAACCAATAATGAAATGAGACCCCAAATCCTTATACTAAGACACTGAAGTTCTTATATCTAGAATTGTAGATAATTCATGGGTTAAAGAGGTATTGAAAATAGAAATTACAAAATACTTAAAATGAAATGATGATGTAGCCAAACTAAGCTAATGTTTCACCTCAAGAAAACAGGAAAAAATAGATAAATTCAAAAAAAGTTCAAGGAATTAAAAGATAAAAGCCAATAGTAATGAAATGGGGGCAGGGAGGAGATAGTAAGTCTAATGAAAGATAGAACTTTGAAAACTGGTGAGGAAAAATCTACCATATATCTGTAATTACATAAAAACATTTGAGAATTGTTAATATCCTTGGGTGTGATAATGTTTACTTATCTTTTAGAGTTTTATAACAAAATATTAATGAATAAAATACTTGGGATTTGCTTCAATGTACATGAGGGAGGAAGTAGAGATAAAACAAGATTTCCCTTGAGCTAGTGATTGTTGTGATTTATTGATGGCTACGTGAGGGCTTCTGTACTATTGTACTTTTATGTAGGTTTGATATTTTCTATAATAAAAGGCTAAAATAATAGAAGTATTTTAAAGGACACAAGTATTTAAAACTATTTATAATTCCATACTAGTAAACTCTTTTATAACTTACCTTTATTGTTGAAAGTATGACCTATATACCACCCTTTTTTCCCGTTGACTGCCCCCACCCCAGGCTTTCACTGCACTGTTGTCAGCATCCATGGGTTATGTATGTGCATATAAGTTCTTTGGTTAATCTCTTCCTGCCCTTCTTCCTTCAATCATAAGCATAATAATACTTTTTGAACATATGGTAGATGTGCTAGTCTCTGTTCCTAGTCATTTACATGTATCAGCTCAAATCTAGGCTCTAGTCACCAGCTATGAGGTTTTGGCCAGTTAATTCACCTGAATGTGCCTTGTTTCTTCAACCTCAAAATGTGGATAATAGTACCACCTAAAAATAGGTTATTGTGAAGGTTAAGTTGATGTATGTAAATATCTAAAAAAAAAAGCCTAGCAACATAGTAAGAGCACACCACACATTAGCGATGAATAAGAATTGAATAAAAGGATGCATTCTCAAAACTGTTAAGGCCACTAAGTTCTGACAGGTTGCATTTAAACAACACACAGAACAGACATTAGAATATGGATAAAAATGTCTAAATACTGTCAAATAAAACCAGTGTGTTATATTCAAAGAATTATACATCATGAAAAAGTTAGATTGATTCTGGGAATGAAGAGCTGGTTAAATATTACCAAAAAAACTCAGTGAATTTAGAATATTATTAAAGGTATTGCTAAAAAATCAATAGATGTTGCAAAGCAAAACAGCACCTATTTATAATCCCCATCCCCCAAACTCAGCAAACTGCAAGTATAAAGCATCCTCTTTAACTTGATCAGTGTTATTTATCAGAAAAACCTATACCATTTTTATTTAATATTAAAAACTTAGAAGCTTTACCATTAAAGAATACAGCATGATGTATCCTTGTAGTGCTAGAGTACAAAACTATCGAGGTCCTGACCAACACAGTAAAGCAAAATACGTAAGGGTTGAAAAGAGGCAAAACTGGCATTACTAGCAGATAAAGATGTAGCCAATCTAGAGAAATGGTTCACAGATGTAGCCAACCTAGAGAAACAGTTCACAGATAATTAGACCTTAAAGAGAGTTCTGCAGTGTGGCCAGATACAAGTTCACCATGTGAAAATCAACTTTCTATCAACTGAAACCAAACAAAATGTCGTGAGTCCATTCTTAGTAACAAACTCTAAAACACCTAGGAGTTAACCCAGAATGAAATTAGCCAAGACTATGAAGAAAACTATAAATTCTAATTGAAAGCATTAAAAAATATGCTGGAGCAATTAGTTACCCATGGAGAAAAATAAAATCAGACCTTACCTTACACCAGCGGTTCTCAACCTGTGGGTCGCGACCCCTTTGGCGGTCGAACGACCCTTTCACAGGGCTCGCCTAAGACCATCCTGCATATCAGATATTTACATTACGATTCATAACAGTAGCACCATTACAGTTATGAAGTAGCAACGAAAATAATTTTATGGTTGGGGGTCACAACATGAGGAACTGTATTTAAAGGGCCAGAAGGTTGAGAACCACTGCCTTACACCAAAACCAGAATAAAATTCAGATGAATTCATAAAATGTGAAAACAATGTAAAATACTGGACTAGAGAAAGCATTCTCAAACAAGATTCCAAAAAAGCCAAAAATGAGAATTTGATCAACTTGATTACATCTAAATTTCATTACGACGTAAACAACCACAAACAATGTGAACAGAAACTAAAGATTGGAAAAAAATACTTGCAACATGTGCCATAGGTAACATAAAATAATTTCTATGAATCCATTTAAAAGAGATAAACCTAATAGAGAAATGTCCAAAGTATATATTAATAGTCAGTTTCCAAAGAGGAAATATAGATTGTCAATAAGCAAAAAAATATTCAACTTACCTGATAAGAAATACAAATTAAAACAATAGTAAGTTTTTCACCCACCAGATTGGCAAAAGAATTGAACTTTAAATTGATGAGGAAAGCCCTGGCTAGTGTTGCTCAGTGGTTACAGCATAGGCCCACGCATCAAAGGGTCCAATGCCTGGTCAAGGGCATGTGCCTGGGTTGCAAGTTCGACCCCCAACCTGGAGGCAACCAATTGATGTGTCTCACATCGATGTTTTTCTCTCTTTCTTCCCGCCTCCCCCTTCCCCTTCCATTCTCTCTAACCGGGTGAGGATTAACCAAAAAATAAATACATAAATTAATTAAATGATGAGGAAAAACAAATATTCTCATGTTGGAAGAAGTGTAAACAGGTAACAACCACTTGGGAGAGAAATTGGCAATATCTTGAAAACGGAAACAGGCATACCTGTGACCCAGCTCTTCTCCACAGGGCTCCTCTTCCGATGCACGCAAGATACACATGTAACCTAAATGTCCATCCTTGTGCGATGAGTGAGTCTGGTACGCCTGTAGCAGGTGAAAGAATGAGCTGGTTGAAATGCACTGACATACTGACATCTGGAAGGCTGCATCCAAAACTGCAACCGTTTTTGTTTGTTTTTTTTTATCTGTAGATCCTTTACCTCTAAAGTTGGAGTGATTAAAGATGTAAAAATCTGTAATGTCTTAATTTCATGTAAGAATAATGCAGAAACTGCATACTTAATAGTTTTTAACAGCACAGTAAACACAGGGCATCTAAGTTCTAGTCTCATTTGTACCAGAAATACCACCTTGAACAATTGTATTTAATCCTCTGTTTGCTCATCATTCGTGTGGAAACTGTGTATCACAGTTCATAGGAAAATGGAGCTGCCGGCCTGGGGAAAAGTCTCCTTCTCCCAAGACTTTTTTAAGCAAAGAGAACCATATTTTTCAAAGAATTTTACAGAAGATGCCATCATTTAGAAAGCTTTGTGCCCAAAATAATTACTTAACATGGAACTCGTTTTGAGAATTCTCTGATTGCATTTGAGCATTGTATGTCCATTTTTATTCATATTTTGTAAGTTCAATTTAACTGTTTGGGATTGTTCAAAAAAAAAAAACTTGTAGAGCCTTTCACCTTTCTACTTGTTCAATGGTTTACAGTTAAAGTTCTGATATTATTGTTCCTACCATATTATCTAACCCGTCCAGGCATCAGATCTTTTGTATCTCTCTAAAGTCTAATTTTGAACTTCTCCTTTCATCTTAAACATTAAGCTAAGTATCTGATAAAGCCAGTTTGGGAGGTTTCACACTCATAGAGCAATGTCATCTTTATCTCAGGTTTAGCCTCTAAATCTCTTCCCCTGTCCAGTATTTCATTCATTTTTGTGTTTTAGAGTAAGTGTCAATACAGTCTACATAGCTTCTATGAAAATATGCGAGGGTCATTCCAGCCCCTTAGATCTGAACTAGCATTTTCTTTCTTCCCGAGGTATGGAGCGGTCTCAGCGGGAATGCTGTGTGCCCTCACCACCCTGTCCCAGCAGCTAGAGAATGAAAACGCCGTGGATGTTTTCCAGGTTGCAAAAATGATCAATCTTATGAGGCCTGGAGTTTTCACAGATATTGTAAGTACTCTGCTTATTTATGAAGACTACACAACATCAGAGACTACAGAACTCAGGCTGCGGAGCAGTGGTTCCCAGCTGGGGTGATTTGGGCCCCCTCCCCATCCCCAGGGGACATTTGGCAACGTCAAGACACTTTTCTGGTTGTCACAACTGGAGTTGGAAGGAAGTGCTCTGGCGTCCAGAGAGTCCAGGGATGCTGCTGAGCATCCTGCAGTGAATAAGCAGACCTCCAAAACAAAGAGTCGTCTGGGGTGGAGAAACTCTGCTCTCTAGGGTATAGGGTTCCCTAGTTACAGTAGGCGGATACCCTGTTACCTTAATGGACTCTCGACAGTGGGAATTGGTTCCAAGCTAGCAGAAACCTAAAGGACGTGAAGAAAGCACATGTCTTGGTTGTAAAGGATTCATGTGATTTTTTCAGGCAGCAGAAACGTCCATTCCTGTTTCTCTAGTATGTTTTCCAGTTACATTTCTAATTAGTATTCCTGCCTTAGATGAAATGACTCGGCTGCCCTCTGGCTCACGCCGTCTTCCTCTTGTTTTTCAGGAACAATACCAGTTTGTCTATAAAGCAATGCTCAGCCTGGTCAGCACTAAAGAAAATGGAAACGGGCCCATGGCAGTGGACAAAAATGGTGCTGTTCTCATTGCGGACGAATCGGACCCTGCCGAGAGCATGGAGTCTCTGGTGTGACTGCGACCTGCCAGGCGCCTAATTTGTAAAACTTCTGAAGACTGAGAACTTTTTTGAGGCCTTTTTTGCCAGACTCTAGGTTATACAATAACCCAGTTACTTTTTTACACTGATAAAAGTTTTGATATTTATTTTTTGCCATTTTATGTCTTAATGGTATCCTACTGAGCATTTGCACCTCTGTTCACCCCCACCCCCCGTGAAACGCAGTTTGACCTAGTTTGCACTATCTGATCAGTGTTACTGCCTATAATCTAATACTAAAGCAAACCCTGGTGTGACATTCCGTAACAACATACATGCTACTTTTTTAGTTCAGTACAGTGAAGGTCTTTGTTATGACAGTGAATCTTGGTTCTATTATTATTCTTGCTAAAGCAGTTACATTCTACTAGCAGGCAATGCTGTGTTTTTCCTCAGCCCTCTTCTGCTATTTTTTTTTTTTTTTAGACATTGTTCAATGCTGTATGCCTTCTATATTTTAGTGGATGAGCATCGTTTTCTTTTAAAGAATAGTAGGTTGTTGGGAGCTACTAAGAAGGTCGGTCAACCTCATGGCCTTGAAACAGTTCCTTGTATGATGGGGAAGACATCGATTAAGAAATTAGAAGGTTTCAAAGTTGCTTCATGTGAACATCACCTATTAGTTACAAACGTATATTCATAGCTTAAAAATGCCCAACTGTGTCAAAATAAAGGATATCTCTGAATTACGATTTTCACAGTAGCTATGTGGACAGTGTGTGTTATTTCCATCTGACTCTGAAATAGCTCCACCCTAAAAGCAGGACTACCTTTTACAATAGAGAGATGGCAATATTTTACACAGCTCAGCTAAGAAACCCTTTAGTGACTCTCCATTAATGTTTCGTGGTTTATAATTCCATACCTCACGGCAGGTGGAATATGAAAATTTTTGCAGGTGTGTAATTTTGAAACTAGTCCTCTAAAATTCCTATTACTCGTATCGCAATCTAATAAAAACTACCTATCTAGTTAACATTCTTTTCTTTCCTTTGCCAAACGTTTCATGATAAATCTCATAATTACATACATTCTTCTACTTAGGATTAGAATGAAAATAATGTATTAGCAAAAGTCTAGGACCATCTAGACTCCCACATGTGGGCAAATCAGATTTGGAGAGAGGAAAATAGAATCTTGGATAAAATGTGATATCTACATTTTCAAGATGTAGTTTAGCCTCAAGATCAGACATACTTCAGTAAAAGAGGCTGATGATCATCACACAGAGCCCAGGGCCTAACCCCTGGAGCCACATTCACCCCACTGTACATAATGGGAAAATTAGGAACATTATGAGGAATTTCAGTTCCGTTAGAAAAAAATAACCTACCTACTGAGATCTGTTTCTCCTAGTGCTTGTTTGCTTTCGAGGGACAACTTCTGTCAGGAGTGACATCACCGCCAGAACTGGACCTGTTAAGAAAAAAAAAATGGTTTTGATTATTTTTTATGTCAATAAACTTCAACAAAAAGTCCCCACTGGCTATTTGACCATCTTGGTAGGCGTTCGAATATTAATGATCATCAGCACCGAGGCCCTCTCTCTCGCACTGGCTTTCCGTGAAGTTTGTCAGAACGGTGCTGAAGGGCCAAAGCCCCTAAGCAGAGAGGCCACAGGCCACGCCCCGGAGTTCTAATGCATAGGCCCAGTCAATGGAGTTCTCATGAACTACGTCATTTTCAGGGCTAGGTTAATCTCATCTATCATGGATTCAGCAACACAGAATATTCCTTGAGAAAAGATGTGAAAATGAGCAAAGTTTGCTAACTGTGAATGTGCTAGATGATTAAGACACCTTTACAGTCCCCCTGCTCCCATCAGAGGTGATAGAAGGAAGCTCTGCCTAACACTCAAGAATAAAGCTTCAACACTGAAGCACTACAACTGCCAGAAGGCCACAGGGAATCGGGAAGGGAAAGGTTTCAGATCATTACAGACTAGATCGTTGTAGTCAATTAAGTAGGTTACTTTGGCTGTATAGAGTATTGACATGAGTTAACTACAGTAGTTGGCACAGTGGACTTGACTTTCAGAAGTAATGTTCAAGTTGGGGTTCGTGATCCCTCAGTAATTTTTTCCTAATATAAAAGTAAACATTGGTTAGGAGACACACCGCAAGTATTCCCTTCTGTGCTATTTACAGAGGTCTCAATTCATGGAACTGCACACCCTCCAACACAGTTCTGTGACCCTCTCTTTTATGGCCATCAGAATCATGATAAAAGAGATAGCTCGTAAATAGAAGAGAAACATTGCCAGGATGGTTTAGAAGTTCTCTGTGAGCCAGTTGTTTGTTTACAGCGGGCTTGAACCAAAGTCTACAAATCCTGACCCACTAAGCTATGAGCAATTGCTATGTGCCCATCTTGCCAAAGCGATCCAAGCCTACTTCACTGAGGACAGTGATGCGCAGCAGTTCCTCTCTTTCCCCACAGAGTGTACCCGCCTGTTCTTCCTTTGTTTTTGGCGGAGGCATGCTTGCAGCTTTTCCAGGGCAGAGCTTCAAAGATGGCATTTTCTTTGAAACATAAGCACATGGCTTAACAAGGTTATCACCACTGCACTCGGGGAAAGGAAATAGCTTTTGCAAATTAATGTGTGCTATTTTATAAAGTAAGCGCACTGGGTATATGACTTTAGCTCTAGGTAAACAGAATGTGCACATCATACAAAACTGAATTGCAATGACCAGGCCAAGCGGCCGTGCTGGACATCAGAGAAAAGACACCTTATTTCCATCAGGAGAACTCTCTTGCATCCAAAAGCCACAATATCTTTTTTATATACAAAAAAGTTAACGTCTGAATTTCAGGAAGAATAAGATCAATTGAATTGGTTTTTTGATTATTCATTGGAGCTTTTAGTCTATCTCAAGTTGGAGAGTCCAGCAAGGTCAGAGAAGGTAACGGTATTCAAGGGAGTTTTTAGCCCAGAGTGACATATTTAAATCAACTAACCTTAATTATTTCTAAATGACACAGCACAACTGCCTTGTTATGAATTTTTTCTTGAATGCTTATATACTGTATTTAAAAATTAAAATATAGTACCAATTTACCAAAGATACATAGTACTGATTCAAAGCAAAAATAAAAAATAAAGAAACCCCAACTCATCATAATTTAAGAAATAATAATAAAAATGTAGTTTGTCTTAAGAATTTAGCAGTTATACTGGAAAATGCATTTCAACTCCTTATGTTCCAAAGTTTATGTTCCAATGGTGTCAGTGAATTTTTATATGAAGGGAAATGCCTGCTTTTTTTTTTTTAACAGCTGTAATTTCACTTACCCCTTTGCACTTCCCCTGAACATCTTGCCATTTAACATCCAATATTGGCTTTACTTATCTCTAGAAAGAAGGCATGCTACAAATAGGAAGGAATTGTAATAATGATATTTGGCCTCTACTTTGTCTTAGCTGTTAAACTGTTTTTAGTATTTTTGTTAAATATTTGCAAAGGGAAGAATTTTCTACAGAGGATAATTAATTTCAAGAAAAATATCTTGAGTTTTAAGAAATAAACATCTCCAGAAAAGGAGACAGCCGATTTTATAAAATGTAGCAACTCTCCAACATTTGGGGTAGTGACTCTTTTGTTAAGACATTTGAAACTAGCAAGCAGCCATTGTTTCTAAAAACTAAAAACAAAACAAAAAAATCACTTAGCCTTCATGTTGATTCGTGTTTCTTTCACTTCATTTTGAAATAGCTAAAATCATTAAGACTGTAAATATTTTGTTGCTTGGATAAGCATCTTCTGGGAACTTTGTATCTATGGTATATAATCATAGAATTTTATATTTTCATATAAAGCTAATTTTTTTCTAGTTTCAACTCCGTCATAGTTTTGTTTTTGATTTTTGTTTTTGGGGGGGGTTTTTTTGTGTGGTGGATATGTGAATTCAATTTTCTGTGTATTGAAGTAGCAAGAACCATCTTTGCATTCCAAAAGAATCCAACATGTGTTATTTCTTTGAGGCAGTGATTGTGAGAGTTGGGTTTCCTTTTTTAATTCCATTGACCATTTGTGCAATAGGAATTAGACATAGTCACTGAAGACATTTGCTGCATTGACCCATTTGGAAAAAGTGTTTGGGGGTTTTTTTAATTTGTTCCAGGGGGAGGGGTTTTGTAACCTGAAATTTTTCCCTTTTACCTTCTGTTTAAAACTATATCAAATCATTCTATTATAGTGTTATTTAATATGTAAATTGTATTGCTATACATAAAATAAAGTATGGTTTTTGATGTATTCTTTAGTGATGAGCATTTCATGAAAATACCTCTATCAAAAAAACAGGTTGCTAGTCTCCCTTAACAAATCACATTTACACCCACTGACCCTTCATCTTAGTTTGCATGTTAGTACAATGAATATTAGGAGTCATCTTTACACAGCCAGAAAGCCAAAAAGAAGTGTCATTTCTGAGTTTTTCCTCCTTTAAAGACTAAACAATGACAAAGTTTTAGCTGCATAATGAATTAAACTGTTTTCACTTTATGAGTCTGCTAAGAATTACTATTTTCCCCAGTGTATCGACTACAGTTGTAGCAACTTCTCCCTCTTAATATTTACTGTGAGGATGAAGACTGGAAAGACTTGGAGAATCTGAAATAGTATATAGGATCAGTGCAATTGCTTCTACTTACAAGGAATTTTGACATTTCCAAATAGAGGGACCCGAAACTGGCAGCTTTAAACCACCATTCCTTTTTAACCTTAGGTGGCCCCACATTCAGGAATTCAGCTCTTAATACCACGGTTCCAATTTTCCTCTCCATAGAGATTAAAGAGCTGATACTTCATTCTCCCTAAGTAATAGAACTTAAGGAATAATGTGCTAATAGTTTCCAGAGCTAGCTGGAAGAAAGACCAATTTCAGCACACACAAAAATGAATCTCTGATGATATAACCCTAGTCTTCCTCAAATTACACTCGTTGGGACCCCGTATGTGCTGAAACTGGAGTAACAGCTGGAGAGGAGGAGGAGTTGGTTGCCTTTTTCAGGTGAGGCATGTACTCTCCAGTTCACCAGAGTCTGCAACTCTTCCATCACCTGTGTCTGCCCAACATCAGTCGTTTAAACCTGCTTAGATCCTGTGAGCACTCACATAAGAATTCTGGCCGTAGCCGGTTTGGCTCAGTGGATACAGCGTCGGCCTGCGGACTGTAGGGTCCCAGGTTCGATTCCGGTCAAGGGCATGTACCTTGGTTGCGGGCACATCCCCAGTGGGAGGTGTGCAGGAGGCAGCTGAATCGATGTTTCTCTCTCATCGATGTTTCTAGCTCTCTATCTCTCTCTCTTCCTCTCTGTAAAAAATCAATAAAACGTATTTTTAAAAAAAAGAATTCTGAGACCATTTTCCATCTCAGCTGGTTTTCCAAGCAGCATGGGGCGAACGGGGTTCCCACATGCCTAATTACTTCTTTAAAATATATATATTTGATTTCAGAGAGGGAGAGATAGAAACATCGATGAGAGAGAATCACTGGCTGCCTCCCACACGCCCCACACTGGTGATCTAGTGTGCCCTGACCAGGAATCAAATCATGACCTGGTTCATAGGTCAGTGCTCAACCACTATTACTTCTAAGTCCACCCAAGATGGTTCCATGAAGCAGCAGCTCTGACTGTTCAAAATAACTGACAAATCAATTCTCTACTCCATGGCTTTTTCTGTCCAGAAAATAACCCTAGATTAGGAAGCTTCATTTCTGCTACCAAGAATGGGGCCAAGAAACAAGAGTGCAAAGAGCCACTAACCCAAAACTCCATTTTCTGACAGTGAATTTAGACTGTTGAGAACTTAAGATTTAGGAACAAGCCATTACTAATCACGTCTGGATTCGGAGACATGCTTCATTTCTGCCTGTGTTGGTGAAACAGCATAAGTCACCAGAAGGTAGGACCTCGGATTCGGGTACCAGCACGGTCAAATTGGCTTTTGTGATTATGAAGTTTGCCAGAAAGACAGACCAGCGGTTTATCTGAATTTAATAATCATGTTGCTTAAAAATTGAAATATAGGAAATTAACTGATTTGTGGTAATTTGACATAATCCAATTGGTATCTTTTCTTCCCTTCCCCATACTATTTCTGCATGGTGTAAAGTCAGGCTTGGTGGCAACAACCGATAGGCCTTGTGGAGCTCAGGAGAATGTTCTAAATAGTAGATATCTTGAGCATCTCATTAGATTTCATTCCATAAGCATTTGCTAAATGTCTACCACAGGCCACATATTAACTATACTCTGTACAGAATGTGAACTTGCTGGCAAAGGCACTTCAAAAGTCAGATGAGGCAAAGATTACAACTGAATCTTAAAAATTAATTCTTCAATTGAAGCAAAAGGTATTTTCTTGGCACAATAGTAGAGATGAGCAAAGAAGTAAAGCCTATAACCATGGATGTTACCTAACTTATAGACTGTGCTCCCCAAATTCTGTTAATTCTGCACTAAATTCCT